CATCCAAACCACTGCAATTTTGGGATGCTCCTATAGCGACATTTACTATGAATAAAGACTTCTGATTTCTGGTGCATTTCTGAGTGCGGGGGTCATTATGTTACCTCTATGCAGTGTCTAGTTTGATAACTGAATCAGATGTGTTGGAGCAGGGAAACATGTAGAATTGCCCAGCTCTGAGCTAGGATAGCAGCTAGCCAAACAAGGGGTTGTTTTTATAGCGGGGGGTGAGGGATCGGCTCATTCCTTCTCAAAAACCACGTATCAGTTTGAAAGAATGCTGCATTAGTTAATGTGAAACCTCTACATTTTTGCTTGACACAATWTGTTTTGCTGGTGGCTGTTTTCACAGCTGAGTAATGTCACTAGCTTACTGTTTACATGGACATGATTAATCAGAATAAACAGCCAATCATAATAAAAACGAGTCATTTAAACTCCCCAGTCAGAATATTCTGATCTGAATAAATTTGTAATCTGAATGAYAGGAGTGGTTTATGCAGATTGATAATCTGAATGGCGTGCARGTAAACACTCAACCTGAACATGTTATTCRGGTTGTAGAAAACTGACCTGACTGCTCATGTCAACCTGACCTGTTRCTGCCTGGCTAGATGTTAATATGTTGGGGAAGCAAAGTTGGTCAGTTAGCGGTGCAATATTTTTATTAGAAGCTTTAAAAGAGCTTAAAATTGTCAAACAACTTGATGGTCTACAATGTTTGAATTTCCATGTTTATTTTAACATTTGTTTATGTTTATCACAGGAGTACAACTTCTGTGGGGTTTTTTCTTAGGGAAAGTTTCTCTGCGCATGTCAGTACTTCTATTCTGAATAAGTCTGATGCATGTAGACGCTCGCCATGATAAGATTAATTAATTTTGTGCCCATAATAAACGATAAATTCAGAATACTTTATCAGAATGCATTTCAATCCAATCAATGAATTTTGTGCATGTAAARMTAGCTMGTGTTACTGTGAGAACGTATGTAGAGAGTAGAACATTGTAGCCAAATGCTAAGTGTATTACACCACCTAATCAACAAGTCTAGTAAGTTCAAAAGTTGACCCAGTTCTCAACAGAATCTCTGCACTGTTTACATATTTTCTGCTCATTAGAGATTGTTAACCAGAAACACACACATTTGCACAGTAACACGGACGTTGTTGGGTTGGAAATAACCAACTAACTAAACTGTGTCATGCAAAAAAGGGGAGATTTAAGTATAGCTAAATGTGGCATTTTTTCAAACCAGTGTGTCGTTTTTGAGAAAAAATGTTTTGTTGTAAACCTGAATAATGATGGTCATCGTTTGGCTAGCTGTTAGCTAGCCTGGATGAAGACATTTGCTTCTTTCGTCCTCTGTTCTCTTTGACTGATGTCACATCTGAAAAGGTACTAACTACAGGTAAATGTGACAGAAAATAACTGAATGTCACTTTAAGCGGCCCCTTACCAAATAGTTGAGATTGTTCTATGTGATCCAGATTAAATGCCTAGTTTGAAAACCAAAATTTATTTTATTTTTTTCCGTGCCGTAGAAGTTTTACCACTAAGCCTGCTGCTGCAGAGAGACTTTTGAGAACACTCCAAAACTTTTAGGTTCTAACATTTTTTTCTTGAAAAGTACCAATTAAAAAATGTCAAATTTTCATCTCAGAAAACTCTTGAAACGCTGTCAAACAGTCACAAAGTCCTGCTGTTGAGTTTTAGAAAGAAGCTTTTTGATGTGTAAATATCCAGACATGACAGAAAACCCCCCTAAACAGACCACTTGTTGTCTCTGCTTCACATTTACTTCCTGTCTGTGTTCAACTTTCTGACCCTAAATGAGCCCATTAAGCCATGATGTCACCACATTTTCTGTATGTGTGTCCATTTGAACTCCGATAGGCCRCCGTTTTACTTCCTGTTGTTCCCTTCTGGTGTTTTTACGATTCAAACAGCTGCTTGTGTTRCCAGGTCCCTCTCTGAACGTTGTGGCCAAACACATCCGCAGAGCCTCAGGGGGCGGCGACACCTTTGAAATGAGCTGCACCGTGACCCCTGTGAACCTCGGCGGTTGGTTAAGCTACAAGGTGGACATCAACTCGCAGGATAGCTTYCAGGGCAGCATGAAAACGGTCATATCACTGAACTCTGACAACGTGGTGCAGCAGACGGACCCCAGCAGGAGGTACACACCTGCTTTCTCTTCCACATTATAAATACTGTCTTTTCTGCCACCAGGAAAGGGAGGTGTTTATATAAGTACCTCATGACCCATTCAGTGGATTTAAACAAAATTCTTAGAACGTAATCATTGGATGCACATTTACAGCTGATAACATGTGGATTTGACCTYATAGRYATCTCCACTCAGGCTMTTTTTAGAAGAACACATCATGTGACAACATCTGCTCAACACCTGTTTGCAAACAAATTCTGGCATCTCTATTGGTTTCAATCACAGTGTGTGGTCTAACTGTGTTGAAGCTTAAAAAAAATCTTCAAAATGTCATTAAACTCCATCAGGAGGACTACAAAACTTTGTGCTACAGTACTTGTAYCAGTAACCCAGGATACAGCCATCATCCCCACATGGAGGGAGTATTTTTTGTCACCTTTTCCAAGCTAAGATGCTAGCTAAKAGCTGGYTTCGAGCAGTCGGACGAGCTGAATTTGACCGTAAAACAGAGCAGCCATGGACTTAATGTCTGCTCCAAAAGTTTTATCAAAGGTAAAAGACAAAGACAGGATCACCTGGATCCTATCGTTACACTTTCTGTCCCTTATTGGTTTCAATAAACCTTTGAATTTTCTCTGCAATGGTAGCATCATTTCTGCTAAAACCTTTCAAGGCGTTCTACAGCAGTTAGCCATCCAAACAATAGTCGTGTTTCCATCAACGTTTCTTGATGCGCATTTTGGAGTATCGCATCAGAAAAGGTGAATGGAAACG